AACCAAAACCGAAACAAAAAACTGAAACCGCAAATGACACCACAAAACCGAACCGCAACAGAAACCGCACCTATCGGTTACATGGACATAAAAACCGCAATTTCGGTTTTCGGTTTTCGATTTGGTGTAAAAACCGCATCAAACCGCACCATGCTCACCCCTAATAGAGAACATCATCGGTGGTCTTTGTCGGTCGAAAAACGAGTGTGAAGGGGTGGTAGCAGCGGCTGGAGGGAGGGAGGCATAAGGGTGGTGGCTTCATCTTCTAGGGTTAGGGTTACCGGGGTGACGAGTTATATACCCCGAGCCCTATAAAACTTTATCTCATAATAACGCAATTGGTCCCTCCTTCCCCTTTTTCTTTCAAAATGGACCAATAATTTACCCTTTTAACCCTCAACATTCCAAATTCACTTCAATTTTGGTCCAATACTTACCAAACAGCCCCTCTTCTACAAATTATTTTCAACTAAAGTTCATATATTACCATTAAGCCCCTTAACCTCTAAAATCTCTTCAAATTAAGTCATAATAATATACCAATCAGTCCCTGCCTTCATAAATATTTACAAAACCACTCCGGAACTTACACAGTTAACCCTTAACTTCTAAAATTATGACAGTTAACTCATCAAAAACCAACACCTTGCTAAATTATTATTGATTTTAGGGCTACTATTCATTCATCAATTTATCTATTTATTTATTTAATAAATGGGGTGTTACACCAAACACTAACCATCATAACAATCTAATATCGACATTGGGGTTCAACCCTAATTATGAACTCGAAATAGAGTTAGAGGAGAAGAGATTATACCTAAAAAGCCTTTGATTTAACTTTCATTTTCTTGGATGCTCAAATCTCCACTTGAATAAATTCTGGAAGTTGTTGAGAATCAAAATCGCAATTAGCACTCTTCCTTTTTCTCAATCACGTTCTTCCTAAGCAAATGGGAGAGGAGACCCATTAACTTGCTTTAAATTTCCTCAGGTTGTAACTTTTGGTCCCTCCTTGCAAACGGTCTTTTAGAGTAACTCCAAACTAACTAACTTTTAAAATGGTTCCTCTCCATGCTAATTTTCACAAAATTATTTCAAGTTAGTAAGTTGGTCAAATCTCTAGTCAAACCTAAGTTTCACCCGACTGTCACAAATAGCCCTTTAACTTTTAACATGTTATTATTTTCACTTATAATTTTCTAAACGACATATAAAGTAATGATATATTTATTCCTTGGTGATTTATCTATATAAATCATCTTTCATTTATTTATTTTGTTAATTTAAGAACCTGGTCTTAAATTTTAGGAATTTATTTAATTATAATTATAAGCTTAGGTACCCTAATCCATCATAATATGTGGTTTTGTTTGATAAATTCATTATAATGTTTTTTAAACTTCAATCTCTAACTTGATTTACTTTCAAAATTTTCAGATTTTCACTATTATCTTCTTTTTACATCACATCTTTTTGCCGAATACCTACTATGTTATATATATATATATATATATATATATATATATATATATAAAACTCAACTTCTAACTTGATTTATTTCCAAGATTTTTATAAATTTCTATTTATCAACCTCTTACATAATTTTCATTTTCAACTATAATATATATATATATATATATATATATATATATATATATATATATATATATATTATAGTTGAAAATGAAAATTATGTAAGAGGTTGATAAATAGAAATTTATAAAAATCTTGGGAATAAATCAAGTTAGAAGTTGAGTTATAAAAATATTGGACAATTACAATGTATATATATGATACAAAACGACGTAGTATGATGCGTTTGAGTACTTATTCTTATATACCCTTAAGGGTATATTCACTTTTCCTATATATATATATATATATATATATATATATATATATATATATATATATATATATATATATATATATAAACACTAACGACGTAGTATGATGTGTTTGAGTACCTATGCTTATATACCCTTAAGTGTATATTCACTTTTCCTCTCTCTCTCTCTATATATATATATATATATATACACACACACACACACACACACACACACACACATATATATATATATATATATATATATATATATATATATATAAACCCTAACGACGTAGTATGATGCGTTTGAGTACCTATGCTTATATACCCTTAAGTGTATATTCACTTTTCCTCTCTCTCACTCTCTCTCTCTATATATATACACACACACACACACACACACATATATATATATATATAAACCCTAACGACGTAGTATGATGCGTTTGAGTACCTATGCTTATATACCCTTAAGGGTATATTCACTTTTCCCATATATATATATATATATATATATATATATATATATATATATATATATATATATATATGTGTGTGTGTGTGTGTGTGTGTGTGTGTGTGTGTGTGTGTGTGTGTGTATATATAAACCCTAACCCTTTCCCCATGTTTCCTTCTACCCCCTCAACTTCCTTTTTGTTATATTTTTCTTTAGAGCTGCTGATTCTAAAGAGTTGAACTACCAAGGAAGAACCGATTTGTTATTATTTGCCTTTATCCTGTTCGAAACCCTAGCTCCACCTCCATCTCCGATCGAAACCTGATGAATCTGAGGTACGGGGAGTCAGGTGATGATTCAGGTGATGGCAAACCCTAGATGGTGTGACGATGGTGGTGCATTTAGAATCCATGGCCATCTTCTTCGAGGATGTTTCTTGTTAGCAAGTCAAAGTAATGTTCGTGATTGCTCTATATTTCGAAGCAGACCAACTGAAGTTGAACCTACACCTCTCTTTCTCGTTTCTAGTTTACTACATATCATGATTAGAATACCCCTCTCAAAATTCGACATTATTTAACTAAGTGAAGTGAAGAAGACAATGAATTGGAGGTTAGGTGTGAGAAATTGTTGAACATTGGGTTTTTGTTTTCCTTTTTTTTGTGATCTCATATTTGTATAAATGTACTAGATTGGTGGGTTTGTGATGATTAAGGCCTGTGGTTAGCGGTGATTACAAAAGGAGGTGATGATGGTGGGTGTATATGTAGGTGTTGATGATGGTTGTGGATATAAGGGTGGTTATGGCTGGAATGAATTATGGGTGAGATGGATTTAGTGATGTTGGTGGTTGTATGATTTATATTTTGATTGTTGAAGGTTGATCCGGGAAAAAGAGGTAGCCATCAATGGTTGTCGGTAACAGTATAGTGGTGGTTATTATTTTATATCAAAGAATTTAGGGGAAAAAGATTGAGAAGGGAAGAGGTTAGGGTGAGGTGGGTAGGATGGACTTTTTCTTTTTTTATATTATAAATAATTATAAGAAAAAAATAAAAATAAAACCAAAAATAACAAAATAGTCCCTTCATGTCCCGCAAAGAATGAAACATGCATATTTAAGTTAACGAGAGACCAAATGTGAAACTTTTAACTAAAAGAATGACGATCTGAGTTAATTTTTTAAAATAAGTACTAAATGCGCCTTTTGTCACCCGCACAAGAGTCGGGTCATGCAATATATATATATATATATATATATATATATATATATATATATATATATATATATTCAGTGAGGAACCATTTTAAACAATTGAACCAATGAACCAATTTATCCATACATTTTCATCACTTACTGTCGACGTACATATACCATAATTAACAAAAAAAACTCATTTTCTATTTTTGTTTTTGTTTTTTGTTCATTTTTTTTTTCCGTTTTTATGACTAATCTTTTATTGAAAAAAAAAAAAAACCGAGTATAACAATATCATAAAATTTTATTATTTTTCCATAAACATCTATATTGATATATAAAAAATGATTTTAAAAAACACTTTTTTTTTTAATATCTAGGTTTTTTAATTGTTAATATAAAATAAAGATATAAAAATTCATAATTCATTTACCCTTTAAATAAACAATTATATTGATGTATAAAAAATAATATTTTTTTCTTCGAAATTTTAGTTTAAATTGACATTGTAAATATTAAAAACTTGATTATACACATTTCATATATTATATTTCATATATTATAGTGTTAATAATAATAAATCAATTCACATCATAAATAATAACAACTAAATTATATATAGTTTAGATTCAAAGTTTAAATAAATTAATTTGAGAATTTTAGAAAACTAGTTTTCATTAAAAAAAAAACTTATTTCATTTTTGTTGTTTTAAAAAAATTAATTGAAATTAACATTGTGAATAGTGTTTTTTATAAGCCTTCATATTTAACCTTCATGTTTGGTGTTAAAAAAAAAAAGCTAAGACAAAAATAATGCTAAATTTTTTGATGGAAAGAAAATGGGAAATCGTATTTGTACCCCCTTCCCAATTTCCTTGTGTACCCGTATAGAAGTATAATAATGTATCCTAATGTTACTATTTATGTGAGTGGAGATGATATTTATAGTATCATTCTAACAAAATTCTTGGCCTCCGAAACATAAAAATCGTTGAAGTTGCTCCAACGAACTATTATATCCTTTTTTTAGCCTATTGATTTTTTTATATGGGCTTGAGTTAAAATATCCTTGTTTTATATTTGTCATAGATAAAATATTTAACTGTATTGCACCATTTCAGGAATCTTTCCATTGTACTGGATCAAGGATCCAATGTTACCCCATATGTTTTGTTATCTGTGTTGTTAAATCATCCTTATATATATTAAAAAAAAAAAACATAAGAATCTCCGTTCCAACAAAACCCTTACGAATCCGAGTAAAAGGAAGCACATTAAATCTACTTAAAAATTGTAATTTTGTAACTGTAACGAGATTGTTTGAGCATGGTTTATGCATAGCATCATGCATCATGTGTATGAAGTTCCAATGCGAAAATAGATCATTAGGGACTCGAAAGCTTCTTTACTTTTTGTATTACAGTAACAAAAAAGACATGAAAAAGTAACTACGAAAAGGGCAAAACCCTAATTTGATAAATTAATCCATTAATTACCTTGCATGCCATGGTTTAGGGGTTTGGTTGATGCTTAAGAATACCACCATGGCCATGGGAGGGAGGTTTCAGCCCCAAAAAATCTCTTGTCATCCCCTCATTGCCCATAACTCCACCTCCAATATTACCACCATTGCCATTACTCTTTGAATCTTTCATCGCCATCATTTGACCATGATGCAGTTTGGTTGAATTCGAAGGACGACTTTCAACAAGATCTCCATGCAAATTACGATCATGATCATGATCTTCTTTCTTTGCATCCAAGATTTGACTAAATGCATCCTCAAACGTCGACACATCCGCAAATCCGTCTGGATTCATCATCATGCTCATGCTCATATTCATGCTCATGTTCATGGGATGAAGAAAAGCAGGTGATGTATGAGGATGATGGGGTAGGGGTAGGGGTAGAGGTGGGGTTGGGTGGGGTGAAGGTGAAGGTGAATGTGAAGGTGAGGGTGAGGGTCCACCTGCACATGCACCATCTTTAACATTTCCGAAAGAAGCTAACGCCATCATCTCTTCAGGGTCAAGGGAAGACATAAGTAGTCCAGTTGAAGCACTTGTACAACCATTGTTGTTACCAATAGTTGCAGAGTTAGTAGACACGTGAGCTCGGTATTGCTGGTGTTGGTGGTGGTGGGGTTTCAAGATTGTTGTAGAGGTTGTACATTGAGCTTGTATACTTGTACTCCTGCTGCTTAGGTGACTTGTACCCATCTGAGCTGCTTTTTGCAGCAACGCAGTAGCTGACATGTACGCAGATGGTGCTGGATGGTAGGCTGTCAGGTTGGGCCCACTGCCACCATGACTAGTACTGCTAGGGCTACAATCTTTTTCTTGGGATTGGGATTGGGATTGGGATTGGGTTTGGGTTTGGAGCCATGGAAATGGGTGTTCTTCTTTTTTCAAAAAGGTGTTGTGAATCGGGTTAAGAAGATGAAGATCGTTGAATCGGGTCGGGAATTGACCCGGAATGGATGGATCTATTCCGGTGATTGCTCGTGCACTTTCTTCTGCTAGTGCATCACAGAAAGCTCTATGTGTGATGAAACTATCCCTCCTGTATATTTTTTTAAGATTAAAAATAAAACTAAAAAGGACAATATACCATGAACAACAACAATCCAAACACAAAAAAACAAAAACTTTGCAGAAAAAAGAAAAAAACCCATCTCGCTATTAGTTGTTAATCCAAGAAACACAGACACCCACAAAAAAGTTTATTGAAAAATGTACTTTTTAATCACAGATAACAGCTAAAGAATCAATACTGTCAATGAATATGAAAAGGGACTTCATTTATTATGGGGTTTTAGAATTTAGGGTTCTTTAATGTGTCTTTCTTTATATATCCCACATGGTTCATGCAAAACGCTCATTTTACATGAAATCGACAACCTTTTTTATCCTTTTGTGTTGGGATTTGTCATGATTTTTAGGGCTATTTAATGTTGAATTGTGATCATAAATGGAAGAATTTTACCTAGAAAAAAGGGTACCACAGTCGCATCTGTACTCTCTGGTGCCACAAGTCTTGGAATGAGCTTTCCAATCGGATTGAACTGCGTACCTCTTTGAACATTTATCACATTTCCACTTCTTTTCACCATGTTTTCTGCTAAAGTGTTTCTTGATTCCAGTCAAATCGCCTAGAGCCCTAGATGGTTCATGGTGCACACAATTCACTTCTGGACACACATACACTTTCTTCCTCACAACTTCATTCTTGTTCCTCTGCTTCAACTTCCATGGCAGATTGTGTCCTCTTCTGTGAAGTTGTAGATTCTGATCTCTTTGAAACCCTTTGTTACATATCTCGCACACAAATCGATTCGTCGCCATTAATGTCTTCGGTGATAAAGATATCACTTCTGCTTCTGGATCTACAACATGAAATAACATAATCGATATCATCCATTCCCGTTCCTGATTTTCTTAATCGTTGTAAAAAAAAACAAATGAGTTTCATTTTGAAGTAATTAAATATTGAAAACCCACAATTTATTTATGAGACTGATGGAAAAAGATTAAAGATTTACGAGATTTTGAACCAAGGTCAACTGATAGTCCCTCGTTGACTACATCACTGTTACCAAACTTGTACCTTTCCTTTCAAATTAATGAAAAAGCAACCACTTTTTTTATGAAAATGGAGAAAACTCATGAAAATTTGTTTAAGATTTAAGAGATATTGAACCTGGGTTGCCTGGAAGACTTCTTTTTTTCTTGAGTAGTGGTTGACTTTGACTTGGAGGTGGATGTGCAAAGTACTGCTGTTGATTTGGATGATAATTGCTTCCATTTTCTTGACCTTTATTCTCTGAACAACAATTAACAGTATTTGCATAAAGATCACTCGATGCAGAACTCAAATTATCTTCCAAAATCACCTTCTGCTGTTTCATCATCATCTTGTCTCTCACTCTCTCTCTCTCTCTCTCTCTCTCTCTCTCTATCTCTCTCTCTAGGTTTCGATATGTGTAAGTGTATTTATATATATAATATGAGTGTATCTATGTATGTTGCATCATCATGAAAACTGAAAAGGCAAAGATGAAGAGGACAAAAGTAGAATTAAACTTGGAAAGAAGCTAATAAGGAAGAAGTGGAATCAAGAAAAAGGTTAGTTTTTTGTTTGAACTATAGTTTACTTGAAATCTCAACTGCTCCCTATGATGTTTTCTTTAATTTGGCATTAACCCAACAGACAATGTTTGGGTTTCTGGAAGAAACTGAAGCAGACCTTCTAAGTATTATATCATCAGTTCATGTTTTGTTGCTCAATCACACACACAAACATAAACTGGTGTGTGCGTTCTTGATTAGATTATTGGTAGAGAAAGAAAGAGAGAGGTGTGGATGAAAAAAAGAAGAGACGGAGCTAAAAAGATGAGTGTGTAAGAGAGAGAAGAAGAAGGGAGGGAGGGGGGGGGGGGGGGGGGGAGGTTAGGGTTGATGTGTGACTTAGGGTACTGTTGCTTTCTGTCTTTTTCTCTCTTCTGTTTCCCAATCTCTCTTTTCTTTTTTCTTTTTGCATATTACTGTAGTAATTATATCTTTTGAGAATAAAAATTTCAAGTTTTTCTTACCAAGTACTTTTCCCATATTCTTCACATCTTTTCTTTTTATAACTATGTATTTAATGTTTTAGATGTTTAGTTTATATAATTACGAAAGGTTTTAAATTACGGTAAGTTATGACTTTAGGGTTTATATTTGCTATCAAGATTTAACAAAATGTGATCTATATAAAAATAAATTTTATATATATATATATATATATGGAAAAGTGAATTTATATAAGATTAGAAACCTAATACTTAAAACAACATAGTAGTTTTGATTAGTGGTTTAATTTTTAACCAAAAAAAATATCCTAAAAACAATATGTAAAGTGTATCGGTTCGTTTTCTTTTATTGCTTCATCCAAGCCTAACGATGTTATTCAATCCACTATCAATTACTGTGGCTTCTAATTCATGTTCAAATATTTTTTTCATAACTTCATGGTGTTAGTGATTGGAGGAAAAAAAATTGATTGAATGTCTATAGCCACGCATAAGGTTTTATGTTAATGTATAATCGCATAACCTAAACGAAAATCCAAATTCAATCTTGAAAAAGTGATTAAATGACTACATCCACACCCACCAGGATTCAAGTTTTCCGTTTGTGTTTTGGATTCATTAAATTAGGGTTGTGCAAAAAACCGTATAAATCGTCCGCACCGCACCAAACCGCACCACATAATGCAGTTTAGAATTTCGTGGTGCGGCTTGCAGTTCATCATTTTATCAAACTGCGCTATGCAGTGTGGTTTGCGGTTTGTATTTATAAAAATGCGGTTCAAACCTCACCGCACCGCATGTTATATATATATATATATATATATATATATATATATATATATACTTTTTTTCTTTATTTTTTTATAACTTCAAATCACGATTTAGAAACGATGTATATAAATATATTTCTTACAATAACCAAATATCTATAACGTAACATTAAATCACTATTAGATCAAGATTTGATGGTTTACAAGAATATAGTAACTATAACGACAATATAAAGCAATAACAATAATACTTACAAAACTATAGTAGCATGAATAACAATTTATTAAAAACGATTTAACTCGAAAATTGTATTTGTTTTTATAAAATAAAAGCAATTAATCTCATCAAACCGTATAAACCATTCGCATCAAACCGCACCGCATCACGCAGTTTTGAACATTTGTGGTGCGATTTCTAAAATATTCAAACCGTATATGCGGTGCGGTTTGCGGTTTTGATTCGAAACCGCACTAAACCGCATCGCGCACACCCCTACATTCAATTAATAATACGAGCATAACATAAACAAAGTTCAATAAATTTTGTGTAAGTGTTTCAACCGATGAATAGCATCACAAAAAATAAATTTGTTGAAGAAGACGATCGATCGACCTTAATCATGGGCCAATTTATATTGAATTGTGATTTCCATGAATCATTCGAAAATCAAGGATACATTGTGTTCGATGTTTCATTCAATGTGAATAAGGAAGCATACTAATTTTGTACATAGTTTTAAATATTGGGTTCCTAAATCTTATATAGTCTTAAGGGTATATTTACTTTTCCCATATATATATATATATATATATATATATATATATATATATATATATATATATATATATATATATATATATATATAAATAAGGGAATATACATTACAACCCCACCTAAGCTTAGGTACTAAATCTCTTGAAAATAAATTGTTTTACTATATAAAGATTACGGTTATGGATTCACGATTAATATTTCAAGATGTAAATTGAAGATCGACACAGTAAGGTTTAGGGTTTAGGGTTTAGGGTTTAGGTTTAGGGTTTAGATTTTAGGTTTAAGGTTTAGGTTTAGGGTTTAGGGTTTAGTAATTTTCACGTGGGTGAAGTAAACGATAATTGAAGAAAGATAACAAAGATCGTAAAACGATAATGAAAGAAAGAAATGTTATGGAGCATGATATATTTACCAAGTAAAAGCAAACCGGGTATATTTAACATGATAAAACGACATATTTTAAAGGTTTAATACCTCAGCTTAGGTGGAGCTGTAATGTATATTCCCTATCCCCTATATATATATATATATATATATATATATATATATATATATATATATATATATATTAAAAATGTCTCAACTTAGGAATAGTGAACATAGGTTTTTTTTTTTTTTTTTTTTTTTTGCAATAATGGTCATTTGGTTTTGGGTTGGGTTGCAACTGTCTTTGTTTTCTTTTAGGGGTTATTTTATGCCATTTTATATATTCTTTTATATATGTGTTGTTTTTTCACTGCTTTATGCTCCAAGCAGATTCGAATTTGTGGCCCGCTACTTCCCATATTCTTCCCCCACCGCCTTTCTTATTGCATATCTTCCCTACTGTTTTGTTCTCCAATAACATTCTTACACAAGTAACATTCCCTTTAATTCTCCTTACATCACCGCTTTGGTTCATACCACTTCCAGTTTTTCCTTCCACCGCTTGTCTTTCTTCGTTCCACAGAGGGCATAGATCGACCCAAAAGGGTTTTTCTATTCAATTAGACTTCAGTGGATTGTTTTGGTTTTCTCAATCGTGGTCAACTTCATCGATCATCTCTAGTCCTCCTCGCTTTAGTTCAATACCCACAATAGATATCGATGTTTCTCATAATTGTCGATTCTTTTCCTGCTTTACGTATCACCCATATATCTCTGCTCCTTTCACCCGATTACACTTCACTTTGTAGGATGACCCAATCATTTTACCAATGTTAAGCCACCAGGTACGATCTTTCTTTCCCTTTTGTTTCTTTCCTCCCACTAACATTCGCTCCACCTGCTATTTTCCACCGCCTACATTTACTTCATGTGTCCTATGTGGCTTTAGAAGTGATGTCTCCATCTTTCGTTGGTGCTTCTACAACCCATTCTGCCTTAACCTCTGTAAAGTGACCGCCAACACCGCCACCAACTCCCTTTGATTGGATTTTGACTGCAAAAGCTAAAATTTTATAAGCGATGGGCAGAGAGGTGTTAGATGACACAAAGATGAATAGATGTAGATGATGAACGTCTTAACGAACCCTAATTCAAGGTAGTTTCTTTATCCGTTTTCATTTTTCTTTTTCTGAAAATTATGGAATTCGACTTCATTGTTTCCTAATTCTTTGTCTTTATTATTGGTAAGATTCATTTCCTATGAAGATTAAATTATCATCCACTAATGATTGCAACTATATCTCATTAATGTGAGTATTCAATTAATTCACTTAAGGTAATTGAATTTATATATATATTATTATTTTGGGTACGGTTTTTGCTTTCTCAGGTTTCTTTTCATAGCAGATCGACGATTCCTTCGATTTAGGGTTTTATTGAAGTTTAATTATGTTGAACACAATTCCGGGTATGTATGTGTTCTATCCATCACCGATTCTTTGTTTTCATTTGATTTCAATTAAACAATGGCATTCATGAAATTCATCTTATGGGTTTTGAAATTCATTTTGATTGATAATCCAACATGTTAGCACAAACAATCATCAATGTGTTAAAAATCAAGATTGTTACTCATTTTTTTTGTAAAGAAAAAATTACAAGTAATTCTATCCATTAATAGAATTCTTACTTTTTTTTACTGTTTCATTCAAGCTTGCACCATGATGTGAACCTGATGAAGTTTTTCATGAAGCTCACAATCCATGTTTCCCATGGTAGGAACTAAAAGTTGGGAACAAGAAAAAAAATCAGGATAAAAATATGAGAAAGATAGATAGTGGGTGGGTAACAACAGGAAGGCCCTTTTCTGATTGGAATCTGACTTAAAAGCTTTAGAACTAGGGTAAAAACACTAGGCATGTTTACAATATGTTGATTTTGATTATTTTTTTCTGCTTTTACATATTGAATTGTTAATAACATTTGACATCATCTAAGCTTAGGGCTTCAGGTAACTGGTAATCTATGGATATGGGAGCCTCCCTTCAGGTATTTAGTTGTGATAAGTGGAAAGAAGCCTGATGATATCACCACTGTTAAGGTATAACTATTAGTTACCAAGAATTCAATGATCGTGATAGTAAACTTTGTTGTTTACTTTTACAAGAAAAGCAAAGTAAACAGAATAGATTTCATGAAATCTTGATTGAGTGTCGATCATCATCTCCATGCTGTCTCCACTGTTATCTCCATCTTCTGTTCCCGCTACCTGCCTTCTTGATCGTTCTCCTTCTAGGTAAATTTATTGTTGTTTTTTTTTGTTCAAATTGGTTCATTGCCTATAAGTACTATAATTATGAATATGATTCCTATTGGCACTTTTACCAGGTAATTTTTTATACATAATTCAAAACCCAATTATGAATTTTCCCTTATTTAAATGATGGTTATCACTGTAGGATGGAAAGATTGAAGCTGAAGTTAAACTTATGGGGATTTTGAACTTAGGGGCATTGCATCCTAGGGAAGTTAGAAAATATGAGGCAACAATTGTGCCACTATAGTTTTTTATTTGCAAGCCTGAGGAAGCATATAACCAGGTATATTTTATGATTTTGAAGATTGTGCATCATTACTGATTTCCAATCTACCAGGTGTTCTTTGGTCCCTAAAATACCCTTTAGTACCAACCCCTACGTCTTAGTTTAATAAAAATCTTTGACTCTAGATATCTGATACCTAAAATACCCTTCAATCCTACTCCATATTATTGTTCTACTTAACATGCATTTTTATTGTAATCTTTGACTATAAATAGAATACCTAAAATACTACAATACCCGTCAATAGTACTCATACTTGACAAAAAAATATTTTATTGCAAACAAAATACCTAAAATACCCTTCAATAGTACTCATATAGTGTGTTCCACTTGACAAACAGTTTGATGAAAATCTGACTAAATCAAAATCCTAAAATACCTTCCCTTCGTTAGTTCGTCTTGACGTGTAGTTTGAGAAAAAAACTTAAATACCTAAAATACCCTCAATAGTCTCTGTTTGTCTCTTTGACTTTTTCTCCATGGTCTCAAATTTCCAAGCTTAATGTAAATTAAAGATTCATTTTCCACTTCTTTTTTCTGATTTGCAGCAAGAAATGTGACTGGTGAAAGCACTTCTATCATATATCCAGATAACTTGTCAATTGATGGAGCACAATACACTCACTGTAATCACACTCCAATCTCAACCACATATGGAGGAATGTTGAAGGTTTTTTCAGGTATCGTACTCCCATTTTTAGTCCTCCACTTGAAACTCATTTGTGTGATTTTCTCTATTTCCTGTTCTTTAAACCCAAATCGACTTCCTGAGTCATTATGATTTTGATTTTCGTTATTTGTTATTTATTTTAATTTTGTTTGAAATTGATGATATTGAAATCAATTTACTCATTTTTATTTGTAGATACATAACTGAATAGAAACCATTATATTTTGAATAATTTTAAATAGATATAAGCATATCACTGGCCAAAGGGTAAAATTGGTAATTATTCAATGTTCTATATACAAGGCAACTTTTTTTTCACTTTTGTAATTCGTTAAAATGTATAAAGTGTATTGTTTAGATGCTATAATTTCTTGATACGGAAAAACTAGATTTATGTGGTGTAGTAAAAAGTAGAAACAAATAAAACTAGGATCTGTATGGGTTTCTTTGATTGCTAATGTTGATTTTTGATTTTTGATTTTTTTTTCACATAGTTCCAATTATGTTTACATAGAAACCGCATTTGTATTCAAGATTTGATGATACAAAAGATCAATTGGTTCAATCACTTTCTCTTATATGTTTTTGGAATAATACCACAAATTTTGTTTATTTCATTTTGGAAAAAATATAATATTAGTGGGTATTAAATGGCTTTTTTCCACGAAAAACCACAAGGGCTTTCAGGTGCTGAGTTTCATTACAAACTATTCATTTTTTAATTGCATATTACAACATATTCAAATATTATGTGTTTGTAAATGGGCGAATTGTAGTGAATAACAACATACTTTATTATGTCTACAATTCAGACAATGTACTATATTTCACTCAAAAGTGACACCTTCTACTGACTTCCGTTCGTTTTCTTTAACATTAGTGACGAATCCAACCCCCGCGAAGCGGGGTTTCTTATCTAGTTATATATAAAATTATCTTTTTATGTCACGCTTCACAAACGAAATGGTTGGCACGGCTAAAAAAAGCTTAAGACCTTACATTGACATCAACTCACGTCTAACGTTATTTAAAACCTTGTAATTACTGTATAATTAATTAAATACCATAGTTTTATCAGCCAGTATGGTGGGTTTTATATTAGGGAAAATGACACAAAATCAACTAATAGTATATGTATTCTTTTAATTTTTTTGTCATAACTTTAAATTATTGCACTAAAGCCATCGGTTTTACAGAATTTTGTCATTATGATTATTTGTCGGTCGGTTACATCTGGTAAATAGAACTTTATTATGTGATTCGTTTCGTTTAAACCGTTCATTACACGGAGGGAAAGATTATAGAGGTGTTCAATTGTAAGTATTAGGGTAAATTAGGCTTCCTACCAATGATGGTGCTAATGAAAAAAGGTTTTTACTCCGTTCATCTTCATTACCAATGTTTACAATTGTTTTTAGTTATCGACATGGTGTCATTTTTGTCAACATATGTCATTCATTATTATCAATTTATCTCGATTAACACTTAACTAGTCAAAATGTATGAATAGTTGAAGTGTGAGATTGATGAAAATGTCATACGATCCGGAAATATCTTTTTTATATGAAATTTGTGTTCAGAATAGATTATAATATAGAAGGAAACGACATACCTAAAACCTATAGGATTATGGGAAATGGCTATATTAAATTCAAAACAAATGTAGAGATAAGTTATTATACTTGAAGGTTTTAGAAATCTTAAGCATCCTTTCTATACATGCATGTGTTGTTATCAATTACATGCACTAAGACCCAAGGATTATATGGGCAATTGGTTTTTATAAGAAAATACTTACAAAAGATGGGATAGTGGGTATAAGTTTGTGTAAAGGCTTCAGTAGGGTGTTGATTTAGACTAGTTGTAAATAATGTGTTGAGTTGTGACAACCCGAAATTTCCTTTCTGTACAACATATCAAGTCAATAGAAGTCAGAACAGTTACTGTTAATTTTCAGACTTTTTGGGATAAGTTTGAGTATTCTATGATTAACACTTTAGGAGATACCAGGAGAGAGGATGCTCTAGGGTTTATTTTGCAACAATAACATTCCATAAATCCAAGAAATTGGAGTTTACGACCCAAACAGGGAGTTTGCGGTCGTAAACCCCATGGGGTATATATATGGCCCTTAGCCATTTTTAGTCATTTGTTCCATTTTCAACTAGAGAAAAACCCGATTCTCTCCCACGAATCTTCTGTCTTTCGTCCCAAATTGTAAGTGCTTATATCTTAGAGTATCATATAGCTTATTATACGTCTATACATCAAGAAATCACGAGGAAACACCAAGATCAAAGAGTTTACGGCCCAAGAACACCTTGGACCGTAAACCCTTCTTTAAGGGCCAAAAGTGTGCCCTAGTCCCTTGCTTTCCTTGTGAAACTAGCCTAGACTCATACCTTAATGTGTATGGGACTTGAAAGCACAAAAATACCATGGTCCATAAGGGTTTACGGCCGCAAACCCAAAAGGGAAATGGTCTTAGTGCCGTAAACCCCTCAAAAGAGAGAAATAGAGCCCTAATCTCTTCCAAGGACTTAACCATCAAGTAGAAATACTTCTAAGGGACTTGTAAGGCTTCACAACATCAAAGGGTTAAAGGGGAATGAGCTTACAGCCATAAACTCAAGGGTTTACGACCGTAAACTCATTTGGTTGGGGTCACAAAACCGTAAACACCAAGAAGGGGTTCTTTGGAACCCTAAACCCAATAACTTTGTCCTACAACAAATTAGATGCAATCCTTGGGACTTATAACACTTATATAAGGTGTTTAGCATGTCCTAGGATGTCTTAACATTGTCAATTAGTAGTTTAAATACTAATTGGATACATATATGTGTGATTATATGTTAACTAGGATCTTTGAGTGTGTACAAGTCTTCACTTGACACCTAGCAATCCTGCATCATCCAGTTCATCCAAACCACCATCTACAGGTGAGTTCATACCCCTTAATCAATGGTTTAAATGATTTTAAATGCTTTAAGGGGGGGGGGGGTACAAGTAGAAAACAACATGTTATAGATTCAATCGCACGTGATTTATAACTGTGTTTTCAACCAACTGATTTCACATGCTTCAAAATGTGATACATGAAAAGGTTTTTTGTTTTAAAATATCTTATTATCAAATGAATTACTTTTTAAATGTTTTATAAAATGACATCAAGTCATTGTTATTTATTGTTCAAAACTCTTAAATGTTTTACAAAACCTCTTTCATCTTCTTGATCAAAACTATATATATACACTTATGTTCATATATATATATATATATATATATATATATACATATACATATATATATATATATATATATATGTATGTATGTATTGATATGATAGCTTTCATCCTTCATTCACTTCCCACACTCTTGAGTAGCAAGGGTGTATAAACCTTCTTGGACATCAAACACATTCCAGTAAACTATTATAGGGATAGTTTAGGGGATACAAAACATTATTCCTATTACAAGGAATTACACAAGAATCAGTTCATTCATGAGTCTATACTAAATGCTATATGAAGAGATACAATTACATGGATACTTGTACCTAGATACTATATGATGAGATACTATTACAAATTATACGTGTAGATTAGTTCTGTCTATACTAGTACAAAAGGATATCATACGAGACTAACCATTCCGACACCCAACTGTTAGCATCATAGGTAATGAACATCTACGGATGCCTATGGTTAATACTTATACTAGGGGTACCTTTACGGGACTAACCATTCCTTCAACCTGTTGTTAGCTATAGAGGAAAATGAACATCTACGGAGGTTCAAGGTTAATACTATTTGGTAGTCGCGATGTCAGGTTTATCCTAATACAAAAGGATAATACTTATATGGCTATATTTTTCCCTGTTACTTTTATTTTGTGATACGTTCACATAAACGATGAGGTAGACTATATATTGCTAATAGTAGTCATACAGGAGAAAAACCATCTTTGTTACAACAAAACATTCAAGTCTTGGTAGAAGACTACTTTCAAAACATTCAAGTCTTGGTAGAAGACTACTTTTATACTAGTAGGAAATATGGGATTTTCTAGGGTTTTCATACTTATATCAAATGTTTCATTAAAAGATTTACATGGCATTCATAACAGCTTTCCAAAACAGAGTAATGACACTTAAATACTTATGAATTCACCAGCTTTATGCCGATCTACTCTCTTTCAAAATAATTTGTATTCTCAGGTCACTAGTAGACAGGTACGATGATCAGGTTTTGAGAAGACGAAGCACAGACAAGACTCGTCTTTTATTTTGATTACATATTTTGGTGTCTTATTACTATCAAAGAACACACATGTATTAGAACTTTACTTTTAATGCAATAGATGATGTTGTTGCTTGTTTACTACTTTACACTGTTATGATACTTTACATGATGTCCTCCACCCCTGAAGTTTCCGCCGTTCGTGGTTTTGGGGTGTGACATGAGTGAAAATGGAAATTTTTTATATCCATTTGGGTCATTTTAATCCCCATGTTTTCTTTATTTGATTACCCATTTTGTAAGTTGGGTGTTGTAAACAATGTGTTTGGTAATATTACTAGAACAATGAAGTCCACCTACTATTATGTATCGTTGTTATGTTGTTGATTTAGGTCAATGTTTATATGTTTATATACTTTTGTTATTCAAACCATCATCTAGTGGCTCACTTGCTATGAATTTGATAAACTCCTCCCCATTAGAGACCCAAGTTCAAATCTTAGGGGATTTTATAAAATGGCGAGAATGAAGTAACACATCGTCACTTGCAAAGCAAGGCAAGACATCTTTATATCTTTACCAAATGATAAACCAAAAGTAAAAGAACATGTTCTAAACAAGAATTCTCATTTAAAAAAAACTTTTGGTATTCATTTTAATTAAGTGCGGTTACTATTTCGTATTACACTTTAGTTTATAATCAAATGAGGTTTCCATTACATTATAGTAATATGTGGTTCAAAAAACCTACCATTTCCATTCATATTACTAAAAAAATATTG